CGTCATAAAAGACATAGGGACAGTAAAGACTATATAGAAATATAGAAAATAGTCATGTTGCTATTTTTTCTGTTTTCCTGTTTACACGTAATAAATAGATCTACATGTTTTTACAGACTTTAATATTTTTATGGTATATAGGTCATCAATACATCCAGCTTCAGAGATATGGCTGATACATTTAATATCACAATAAGCACTTTGCACAGGGTCATCAGAAGACTAACTATTTTCCTAAGCCACTTGTCTTTACAATTTATAAAATGGCCAACAGAAAATGAAAAGTGGAAAATAGAAGCACATTTTAGAGAAAATTGATTCCCCTGGGGTATTAGGGGTTATTGATGGATGTCACTTCAAAATGGATAAGCCAAAATATCATCCTGAATCATATATAAACAGAAAGAGTTTTTATTCTGTACAGGTAGGTTCATGTTTAAATAATATTAAATACTTATATACTGATTCAAATATGTATCATTTAAATGATTTATAATCATTTTTTAGATTCAAGCAGTGTGTGGCCATAATAAAAGGATCACAGATATATACATTGGTTACCCAGGCTCTGTCTGTGATGTATTATACCTACTGGTTATGCAACCAGTATAGCAGAGCTAGTTGACATATAGTGCAACGACCACGTTAAAGAAAACCTCTTGTTTATAACCATATTTGTTGTATAATAAATTATAATAAAGTGCTTCTACTGATTATAATTGTTTATTAACAAACCTACACAAGATCAACATAAACATTCTGTAGAAGTATCAATGAAAAGTGTAGCCGCTACCATTTATTAGGAGACAGTGGAATCCACTTCTTACAAAATTAATGGTACCATTTAAAGACCGAGGAAACCTCACTTAGAGAAAAATTAATTTTAATAGAAAATTGTCAAAAAACAGAGTCAAAATTGAATACTGTTTTGGTATTCTAAAACAAAAATTTAGACAACTATACCATATCAAATTGAGAAACATAACTTATGTTGTACATCTGATACGAGCAGCAAGTGTTGTTGCACATTATTGCAATACAGGATTAGTTTTTTTTTAAGAAGTATTGCCACAAGTAGTATATGTTCATAATGATGATGGGAAAGATGGTGATGATGAGGAGAAAGATAACGATGGCAAATAGAAAAAAAATATGAATAATCTTAGAATGAAATATTATATATCGCTGTTCCGGTAAAACAACGACGCAAATGCAAAATTATAAATTTTTCAGGAGAGACGAAAAACGAATATTATTACTTCCAAATTTGAGCACATAAATCACAAAGAACTTGTCCTAAATAGCAAATACAACATTTAACCATAGACTAAGTAATGTCTCCCTTAAATTTGCAGACACAACTGATTCATATGTTATTGTTTTTCAAAAGTGGAGGGGCAAACATTAATATTTGAAAATTGAAGTAACTACCATTTAGATGGCCGGGAGTGGATAAAAAATTTCGCCGTTGTTATACCGTATAGAGAGACTAATTTGGAAACTAATGACATGTTAAAATCAAAATGTCACAATTTTGCACTTGCGTCATTGTTTTACCGGAACGGCGATATGTAGATTTCTATATGTAAAGTAAATATTATGTTTTTTTAATCAACAAAAATAAGATAAAAAAATTAATAAATAAAAATTATCACTAAAAAAGAAACAACCTAAAATCTATTTTACAAAGGCACATGACACTCACAATACTTCTCATCATTAATCAAATAATTTCTTTTGCACAATAATAATAGTATTTCATTAATTATTTTTAGTTTTTTCCTGGTACGCATATTTTCCAATACTCCCGTTTTCTTTTTTGTTCTTCGTTTCAGTTGTATTATTTTTGGAGTCTAAAATAATAATGATTGGACCAGAAATTCTGTTGGGGTCATTGCTACATATTTTGTATAGCTTTGTCTAGTGCCCTGTTTTCACAGTGACTAGGTTTCACAATTATCTTCATATCCTTAGTCATTTCATCTACAATCACTGTTCACATATATTTAACAATTTTTTTAATTCTACGATGCCAATTATTTTTTTTATTTCCCACTTACAATGTGTAACTAAGTTGGAGCCATATAGAAAACGTTTTTATTATTGGTTTTGTGAAAAAATTTATTCTTGATAAAAAGTCCAAAACTTAAAATGCAACTATCAGATATTTTTAAGCCGTATACGAGGTTTGTCAAAAAATATGATTTTTGCTGAAGAGTAAAGTACTTTTATTTTTTGACAAACCTCTTATACAACTGATAAACTTTGATATCCGATGGTTGTGTTTTAGGTTTTAGACCATGCTCGATTTTTTATAAAGAATAACTTTTTTCCTAATATTGATAATAAAAAAGCTAACTTACGTAGACAGTTTTGTGATTTTGTGAATGAATGCCAATTAAGGGTCGATCTTTTCACCTCTGAGTAAAGTTACATGTAGTTTAACTTGACAGATTGACAAACAATAGCCCTATAGTTTAATCAGCAATTAGTTACTTTCTACTTTACTCAGAGGTGAAAAGACTGGCCTTAAATATAGATAACTAACGACCTGGATTAGTTTCAAGGCAGTATAGTTACTTTCTTTTTTTCCTGGGTCTTTGATGTGATTCGTCTATTTTAAATAGCAGCGCCAAAATTTATCGCAACTGTCAACAAGCACTTAGGAACTATCAGTTTTGTTTGTAAATTGGATAGTGATATAGAAAAAGGAACCAACCGCCAAACAGCTAAAAATGAGATATCTACGTCAGCATTGCTATAAATGGAACCAATCGCCAAACCAATTTTTATTAGGCTTGATTAATACTAGCGACATCTGTGAACCGAAGTTTGTATTTCGAAAACGGTTATTCAGTTACGTTTGTTTTCGAATAAAGAACCACAAATACTTCATTGAGCACGTGTATCGACCTGTTAAAAACGTAGTTTTAATGCAAAAATCTCGGGTAAAATATGTCGAGAGGCAAAGAAATGTGTAGATTAGTGTTCTAGAAGCAAGAAAATGCAGTTCAGTCTTTGGAAATACATCAGGTAAGTAAACATTATCATAATTTATTATAACCTCCAAATAATTTGTGTACTTGGTTCTATATTCGAAAAATAACTTGGTAAAATTCTACTCGTGGTCCCTTTGATATTGATGGCTGGTTCTGTATTCCAAAATTGCTATTCCTGTATAATAATAATTATTATTATAATAATACCAACAATTAGATATTTTTAGTAATACTGCGTGTGTTCTAACGTAGGTATTTGATCAATGTTAAGCCATTATAACTTTTAGGAAAACACTAAGTATTTAATACAGCATGGTAGAGTTAGGTGTTGAAATATCGTGGAACACCATGTTTAAGGTCTGCCAAATACACAAATAAATAATTATTTAGGGTGTACCAATAAAGTTTCTATTTACATTTTTTATTTTCAGCCTCAAAACACCACGCATTTTAATGAAAATAAAAATGAGAACGAGAATGAAAATACCGTTCAGTTATTTCAGTCCCTGTTTGCCAAGCTGCCTACTGAGCTGCATACCGAGCTGCCTACCGAGCTGCCTACCGAGCTGCCTGCCGAGCTGCCTGCAGAGCTGCCTGCCGAGCTGCCTGCCGAGACTGAGATTCAGAATGCCATCCAATGTATCCTCGAAGAAAATCGTTGCCATGCAAATAAGTACCTGAAATCTTCCAGTGATACGACTGTTTCGCCGAATAATACGACTTGTGATCATAATGATATAAATAACTGTTTAAGCTTACCTGGCCCATCAAGACTACTCCAAGAATCGATCTCAGCTCTGACAGAAAGTGATTCTGATGATGATATTCGCGATCCTGATTTTCAAATTGAATCGGAGAGTTCCGATAGTGAAGTAAAAAATAGATAGTAAGGAAAAAAAATAAACGGAATCCTCTCACAGATATCACAAGAAATATTAATAATATAAGTTCAGCGTCAAGTAGCAATACTAGTTTCAACAGAGGCGACCAAGATGATGATGAAATAACTTTAAATAAAGGAAAACCGAAAAAGGGAAGAAAAAGAAAATTTCCGAATCAAACAGAAGAAATTCGAAAAATAAATAAAAATTCAAATATAGCTTACTTCAGTAAAGCAGGAAAAAAAATAATGCCAAAACCATTTGTTGGATACATATGTAACTGTAAAGAAAAGTTTTGAGAAGGTTTCTATGGAAATTAGGAAATATTTTTTTGACAAGTTTTGGAATAGTGGATCTTACGAAAGGCAAAATTCTTTTAATATCTGCTTGTGTTACACAAAATGATATTAAACGTAGAAGAATTGCCAATCCATCTATTAAGAGATATTTTACCAGGGAATATACCATAGAAGGTATTACCGTTTGCCGAACTATGTTTGTAAAAACATAAGGGTTTCCACAAAACGTGTTGATACTGCCCTTAAAAAGTTTCGAAATTTGGACATAAGAGATCATCGGGGAGCACATAAAAATCACAAGACTTTACCAAATGATAAAATACTCAAAATAATAGAACAAGTTAGCCGACTCCCAAAATATAAATCACATTATCGTCGATCTATTACTGAAAAAGAGTTTTTGCCATCGTATATGACGGTAGAATTCATGTATAATTTCTATAAAAAAGAAGTGGAAGATCCAGTTAGTTTGTCAAAATATAAAAATATTTTTCAAACTAAATTTAACTTAAGTAGGAAAGCTTTAAAAAAAGACACCTGTAACAAATGCGACATTTACAGCAACATCTCTGAAGTAAACCCCAAGAAGAACACGATATACATTTAAAAGCTGCAGAAAACGCCAGAAATAGAATGAAATTAGATATTAAAGAAGCCAAAGATAACCCTGTACTTGAAACATTAACTTTTGATTTAGAAAAAACTTTACCCCTTCCGCGAATTCCGACGAACATCCATATTCTATAAAAGGCAGTTGTGGTTTTATAACCTAGGGATTCATTCGGGAAAAACTGATAAAGGATACTGTTTTGTTTGGACAGAAGGAATGGCTGGAAGGGGAGCTCAAGAGGTAGGTTCTTGTCTAAAAAAGTTTTTAGAAAAACACCTAGATAAGAACATCACTGAACTACGATTATGGAGTGACTCGTGTGGGGGTCAAAATAGAAATATCAAAATGTGCCTCATGATGAAATTTATTCTTCAGCATCATCCCTCTTTAAAAATGATATCTATGAAATTTTTAGAATCAGGTCATAGCTTTTTGCCGAATGATTCAGATTTTAGTGATATCGAAAAAGCATTGAAATATCAGCAAAGATTATACGTCCCTCAAGATTATATTAATGTAATTAAAACATGTAGGAAGAAAACCCCATTTAAGGTTACCGCAATGGAAAAAATGGACTTTCGAAGTACTGAAGGTATGGAAAAAGCTATTATTAATAGAAAAGTTAATACGGAAGGAAACAAAATAAACTGGCTCTCCGCAAAAGAAATTCAATTGAGGAAAGATCATCCCTATAGTTTATTTTTAAGAACCTGTCATTCTACTGAAAAACCGTTTGAGGAAATTGACCTAACACCCAAACAAAACATAAAAAAATATCACCCCTTTCCAGAAAGCTTAGAATTACTATGGCCTGAAGGAAATGCTATTTCTACTCCAAAATTAAAGGATATCCAATCAATTCTTCATTTGATACCATCATCAGAACAAGAGTTCTATACCAGTTTATTATCAAATGATAATGTCGTTGATGACATTGATGGATTCAATGCAGACGTTGACTTTGAATTTGAAAATGTCTAGTGATCAATTTTAAAAAAAAAAATGTTTGTTTTTTGTAGTTTTTACACGATGTTTATTACTCAAGTACCTATCCAGATATACTACGTTTGTTGGTTTAGAATTTTTTTTTTATTATTGTTAAGTTAGGTAAGCGTGTTTCAGTTTAAGAAAATGCATATTTTTTACCAAAGAAAGTCAGTGTTTTAGGTTTAGTTCTATACTTGGTTTTTGTTACTTATCGTTGTACCTAATATTGTTTGGCACAGTATTATCTTGCCAAAGTACCTACATAATTTATAACAAATAATCCATTATATTTTTTTAAATGTTAGTAGGTAAAATTTCTTATTTTTTACTGAGTAGTTTTAATATAATTTTTCTAATTATTACAAAAATTAAAGTTTTAGTTTTGATGCAGAATTAATTTTTATTTTGCAATTCCAGTTTATTGCAAAATAATAATTTTCATAATACAAAAAGGTTCTTGGTAATTCTATTGTAATTATTTTTTTGATTAAGCATATTATTGAATAAAGAACCACCGACCATATTTTTAAAATTTCGTAAAAGTTAGTTTTTAACTTATGTTAATTTTCGAATATGGTAATTCATAAACCTGTTAAAATCTAATTTTAACTAATAAAAACGAAAAAATCCGTAAATTTGACTGGAACCAAGCGCCTGGTTCTTTTTTCGATTTTTTTAATAGTTGAAAAAAACAAATCTGAAAATAAATTTATTGGAATTTATTCAAAGTTTAATAAAATTTTACAAAAAAAAATACATTCAGTAGCAGCAGTAACCACTCTACTACTTATCTTTAATGTACCAGTTCCAAAAAATTATTTAAAACATTTTAATAGCGAAAAATGAAAAAAAAATGTTTCTCGCTGTTTCCAGAAATCTTGTTATGGCGGTTGGTTCCTTTTTCTATATCACCATCCAATTTCATGTGATTTTATATTCCCAGGACAAATTTTTAAAAGTTTCTATTATATTTTTCAAAGAATGTTGTTAGTTATAAGTCTAAAAATTACTATTCAATGTTTTGTTTGCTCCAAAACATAGGCGGTACAAATTGTAGTAATTAGTAATTTTATAGGCAGCTTTCCAACAAACCTTGAAGCAATATAAATTTGAATTCAAAAACTAGAATTGGGAATGGTTGAAGTTGATAAAATTAACAAAAATAATAAAATATATTGGAAATTTTTTATAAATTATGGTTTTGTTATGAATTCCACAGGGAAAGACAAATTTAAAGCTAAAAGTAATTGCTATTTTATTAAATTCTTAACTTGCTTTATCTTGAAGTTATAATAAATAATATTATGTAATACTTAATACAAATTATTCATACACTTTAAACTTAAATAAAAAAATTCATGAAAATATAAACAACTCTAAAGAGTTTCTCGTATCTTCTGAACATTAGCAGTGAGATGAATTATACTTATAGAATGATTATATTGTAAATTTTTTTTTAATTCTCATTAGGGAAAATTTATTTCCTACTGAATGTAGTACAGATTTATAATTATAATAATTTTCACATACTGAATCATAAAATTCAAGTTGTTCCACCAACATTGCTCCAGAAACTATAGAATAGGTTATTTATTTTTTTAAGAACTTTCTTAGGGGTGGTAATACGGTTCTCACAATTTTTAGCGAGAAGACTGAATAATTATCTTCATTTTGTTACTGTTGTAAAAATTTCGTATTCCGCATAGTTCCGAAGTAAAAAAAGTTTTCTTGAATAATGCAAACAGATATTCCTAGTACAAGATTAATAAAATTGTAATGCAAAATTTAGTTGGCAGGAACAAAGGCAACACAAGTCGTGATTTTAATAGGATACGAATTCATAATCATTCAACTTTGTTGTTGACTGTAATAATTTCTTCAATTTTGTTATTATCGTGAAAACCATTACTTATTATTTAATTGTTATTTTAACTGTTACTAAATATAGATTCTTTTTTTAATGAGCACACCGACATGATCTTAGTTCTGGGATTCAAGGTAACTGTCGCAGAAGTGCATACGTATATCAAGAGAGGTATCCGAACCGGAGAATTCCCAATTATTATTCTTTTACCCGAATCAAGATACAGGGATATTAAAACCAGTCAGAATCAACGCTGGAAGACCCCGAGTCCGAAGACCTAATGCGGAAGAGGCTGTACTCGAAATAATCGATGACAATCCTGAGATTAGTACCAGATCTGTGCAACGACAAACAGGAATTTCAAAAAATACTGGGAATCGGATCTGCATAGAACAATTAATTCATCCATTTCACAACAGACGCTTTTATGAAAAAAAAAAAAAAAAAAAAAAAAAACATCGCCATGTATTTTTGTATACGCATATCTTTGTTGAAGTCTTGGTATATTGATGTATTCGATGGACGATGTGCTAGAGCTACGGCTCGAAGTTTCAATGAAATTCATCCAGAAAAGACCACATCATATCAGTACGTGATTCAATTGATGAATAAGTTCCTGGAGTCGGGATCAGTGCTGAATAAAAAAACATGAACGAGAGAAGCCTCTGAGAAATGAAGGGGTCGCTGTTGCAGTGATGGACAACATTCAATCTTCAAGACAACTTGAGACTATTTCTGGAGTTTCTAAAAGCAGCGTACATCGAATTCTAAAAGAAGCAAAATTCTATCCTTATAAAATGCAGAATGTACAAGAATTAAATGAAGATGATCCTGACAGACGTACAGAGTTTTGTGAAATCATTTTAGGTGATGAAAAATAAAAATATCTTGATAAAACTTAGTTTTCATTAAAACTTCAACAACACTTGATCGATCCTGAATTTCAGTACACCGATGTATTTGGGATTAAATTCCCTTTAAAATGGTGTATCACAAGTAGTCCCATTGAAAATTTTGAAGTAGGGGGTGCTGGGGATGAGGGGATTGACAACACAATCATGATGTATTTGGTGAAAGTGTTCCCCCTTGAAATAAAAATCGACGGGTCTGAGCGATTTTCAATTTTTTCACGAGTTCGGAGATTAGGTGGTGACAAGTTTTAGCTGGGACCCTGTATATATACTCGTATTAATATTAACATTTAAAAAAATGCCAAAAAAAAAAACAAAAAAGTACAATGTTTTTATCAAAATCGAGTAAACATAATTACGCTAGTAAATCAAAAAAAATAGTTGGCCGTTTTTACAATTGTGGCTTGGCAGTCAATGTGATTAATGGGAGACCGAAAACTATAATAATCTGTAAAGGAAAGATATATAAATATTAGATTTCTTTGGTCTTTGGCAGCATTCTTTTATTTTTATTTTTAGACAATTCAGAAAGCGGCGATGATTTGCCTTTAACCAAAAAAACACGAACACTTTCAGATCTTGATAATATCCCTGTAAAGAAAACAAAACAGAATATTAAAAAAGGTAAAGTATTGTCACAAAACACAAATTTATAATTTACTTTACAAATGCTAAACACTTAAGTCCCAAAATAATAATAATTATATTAATCGCTTTTATCAAAAAATAAATTAATAGGTATTATATATGTATTAGCTTTTCCTTTAATTTTTAGGTTGGAGACCAGAAGTACACATAATTAAAGAATATTTTAAAAGTGATATGGCCCGAAATACTTACCCTTCTGGTGAGAGGATAAGAGAGTTTATCCAAATCAATAAACTTCAACGAAGCGTTCCAGTTGTTAAATCCAAAATTCAACATTTACTTAAATTATACAAGCAATAGCTATGTTTGTCTTGCGTTTTTCAATTTATATTTTTTATTTTCAATAACATTGCTTTAGCTGAGAAATGAACATTTATTTTAGCACAGTTAGAAGATGTATTAAGAGTTCTTATAAAAATAAATAAGTACAAAATGTTTAAAACAAAATGTATTAATAATACTTACCTACTAAAAAATGATTCGTCTTAAATATCAATAATAGTATTATTAGCAAAATTAATAACATGACGCGGTTATGTGGAAGTGGTTTTTGAGATATTTGTCAATTACAAACAGCTCTTCCATCCCCTCGCGCCACACAACTTTGGGCACTATTATGATAATCATCGGTAAATAGCCGTACCAATATACAAATTTCGGAATTTTTTGTTTAAATTTAAAAATCAAAATATAAAAACACCATGTTTCCACCTAATTTTCTTCAAGAAATACCTATGTCTACACTATTTACTATTTCTTTCAAAAAAACTTAAAAATGTAACAACATGCCTGCTACTTACGTACCTCTTTCGCATCAGCTAAACTTTCAAAAATACTCAATTTTATTGTAGTATTAAATAATATAAGAGGAATAACAATATTAACACGTAGTGCCCTCCACAATATGGCAACAGCGCTGGAGAGAAGTGCGACTAATTATGAAATAAAAAATCCTATAGATTCGGAGGAAACTAACACTAAACAATATCTTTAAAATATATATGAATTTTATTGGTGGAATTCTTTACCCCTTTCTTGAGAGACATAAAGACACCTCCCCTTAATATGTATATAGAAGCATTTTGCTATATATGCAACAGAAATACTGGAGGTCGGTCCGCCTGGTGTTTATAATGGAGGGAAGAACGAACTAACTTTACATACTTATCTTTCAAAATATGGCACTGCTTCCAAAGGAGCTGGTAGGCCATCATCTTCGTTAACCAGTAGCCAAGGCAACAGAGTCAGTGATGCTATACGATATGACAGAATTGATCATCTGCTGGTTTATATACCAGACCAGAAAAGAAGGCGTTGTGCGATGGAACTTTGTAACACAAGTGCAAGAACCATGTGTAGAAAATGTAACATTGGCCGATGTTTAACGTGTAATTTAGGTTTTCATACAAAATAAAAAATAGGTAGTAATAAAGCCTAGCGTTACATATATGTAACAGATTATTTTTTTACTTATAGCTAATACAAAATTTTAAAATTTGCTTCAGTACTTTTATTAAACCTAGTTTAGTACAAAAAGCTTAAAAAAAATAAATAAAACAAAAAAAAATAAT